TTTGCTGGTGGCCCTGAATTCAGCAGACTTTTCTTCTGCTTTTGATTTTCGGCGAAGGGCCTGGAATTCGGCAAGGAAGGGCCGGGCATAAATATTTAAAAGGATGTCTCATAAAACGGGATCTCGAATAAATCGGCCTAATCACTTCTGGGGGATTTACGGCCATGTGAATCGGCTTAGGAGCAGCGCCAAGACTTTTCTGGGATGGAGGGTGGGGGGGGAAGAGGGGCGCCTGGATCCTGGGGAGGGTCATCGCAGAGTTTTTCTTAGAAGCGTTTGTGGGGTCCTGGGTCACCTGGAGCAGAAGGCGGCAGTCGGCAGGATGGGGTGGCTGAGCAGAGAACTAAATTCTGGGGCCCAGAGGAAAAATAATGTCTCCTTCAAGAGAAATCATTTCCCTGCCAAAAGGATTCCGAACGACGCACGGAGGTTAGAAGAAGCCTGGCGACTTGCCAAGCCAGGCGCCTCCGATGCCAGCCTTGACCGAAGCCTGGGAGGCCGAGTCCCACTCTGGAGCCCGTTCTATCCCCAAGGAGGGGGTCTCCGTTGATGTTTGCCTGGCCTTGGGAAGACCTTGGCCAGCTTTTTCCCTCCCACCGCGGGGGTCTCTAGTCCTTGTTTTGATTCCTGGGGTCTCTGAGGAAAGTCAGCCAAAGACCCTGCCCACATTTTGCCCATCTCCTGCAGCAACTGGGGAAACGCCTGCGCAAGATGGACACCAGTTAGGTGGTCCAAAACATACGAAGAACGATTGCAGGAATTAGGTATGTCTAAATGAATGAAAAGAAGGGTTAGGAGTGATGGGATAGCCATCTTCCACAAAGAGGAGGGGGTCAACCTCTACTCCAAAGCCCCTGAAGGCAGGACAAGAAGCAACGGATGGAAACTCATCCAGGAGAGAAGCAACCTGGAACTAAGGAGGAATTTCCTGACAGTGAGGATAATTAGCCAGTGGAACTGCTTGCCACCAGAAGTTGTGGGTACTCCAACACTGGAGGTTTTTAAGAAGAGACTGAACAGCCACTTGTCTGAAATGATATAGGGTTTCCTGCCTGAGCAGGGGGTTGGACTAGAAGACCTCCAAGGTCCCTTCCAACTTCTGTTATTTTGTCTCCAGCTGCTTCTAGAGTTCCTTCTGGTGTTCCCTCACTTTCAAAGTGCTACAAATCCATGCCCCGTCCTTAACCTGGGAGAAAAGTCCAGTCATGCATCTCTCCCCACCTGCTTGCAGGCCCGGCCGGCCCCCTGCCCATTTCGTCCAAGGGCAGGGATGGCAAAACCCAGCCTTCCCGGCCTCTGACCTTGAGACTGAACAGCTCAGGAGGACCTAAGCATGTCTCACTCCTGGGCTGGCTGGGGAGGACACGACGGTCCTGCTAAAGGACCACGGCTGGACCCAGAGTTGGCCAGGGCTGCTTTGAACCTTGGTTAGCTGCCAATGGCGAAAAATATTGGAGGAACATGAACCGATCCTGAGTTAATTCTCCATCCCTTTTTAGTTCCCCACCGTATTCTTGCAGGAAGAATAAACTGGAGAGTAATGCTGAATCCAGAGACTTCCCCCCCCTCACCCACCCCCTCCCTGCCTGCCTGAGGACGGTGCATTTAATTTTTCTCGCTCCGTCGTCCTGCCTGCCTTTGCGGGAAAATCTCTATTTTCCTTGCTTCAGCATCTTGCTTTCCGGTTCATGGAAATACACTCCCTGACTCGCCGCTGGCTGGTGCCAGACTCTGAAACGGCATCTCCTTTCCAAAGAGAGGGGGGGAAAGGAAAGAGAGAGA